TCAAGGGATGTTGTGTCTAATACATTTTAATAACGGAACACATTGCTGCCTGATATCTAACAATAAGTTCAACTAGGCTAAGGAACAGGCATTCCCCCCCAACCCAAAGGAAAAAAAAAAGGCACATGTATTGACATATTTTTGCATATATGACATTGTGAGTGAAATGATTTGCCATGTCCATTACATAAATGATTGAACCATAAAATGAGCCACAAAAGAAAAATATATTAGAAAAAGTTTTAGTCCACAAAGCTGAAGAGCTTGTAAGAATTATCATTTGAGCTGACATCATATTATGAATTAACTTTGAAGTAACAAGAAGAAACATCCCAATCAAAATTCAGGAGCAAATTAATAGAGAAATAGGACAGACCCATATGCATCAACAATTTCTTGAAATGCGTTTGTGAATCGATTTGTCTTGAAATATGTAGGAGGTGATTCCAGTGCATCCATCACATGAAATATTATGCCCACTTGTGAATTGCTATCAAAAGTTGCACGTTGCAGAGCCTCCTGTATCTGTTAAAAAATTGTTACACTTTGCTTTTTGAGAGAATTAATTTCTAACTGCTTAAGGATAAAAATAAGAAAGTAGTAATAAGTGAAAAACATCTATATCAGAGTATAAACAAAAGGCATTATTGCTCACCTGAGTTTTTGCAAATATTGGACACCATCCTTCTCCAACAAGACACTTTTTAGTAACATCAAAATTCAGCATATTCAATGTATCATAGACAGCCTTCTCCCTCCGCACCTGCAGTCAACACGATGCACTGATATACTGTCCATTTTACTTGCACGACAATTCAATTAAGTTCAATAAGCCATAATTTGTGCCCAAGCAAATGCACCAATAGAAAGACAACTACAAAAATAAATAATCAACACATAAAACATAACAATAAACAAGTTGCTAGATCACCATGTTCATCCATTTTGTTAGGCGGTACCCAATGGTAGTAAGAGCTTTATCTCGGTGGCGAATTCCAGCATCCAAAGTGGCTTCTAATTCAGAAAGTCGAGATGCAACCTACAAGCAAAAACCATCAGCTGGAAAGTTACAGAACATTCAATTTAAGTACGACATTAAATGACCGCAGTAAAATGTAAATATAGTAGAAAAATGGAGTTACATTCACTAACAATATCTTAAGTCATACTCCCAAAGAAAAAAAAAACCGCAACCAATGCATTAAAAAAAATTTTGAATTCTCATAAGCATACTTCTCTGCTTATCTGCCTCTGCTTGGTTACGTCTTCTGGTACTGGATAGCAATTTGCTCCAAATGCTTCACAAATTTTCAGTATCTTCGTTCTTGCCTGCTCCCCAGAGAAAAAAACTACAAAAACAGTTTTCTCTACCTGCAAGTATAAATTTAGTCATTATACTCATTCCAGAGGATCCAAATCAAATAGGTGTTTCTCAAAGAAATATAATAAACTTAGCGGGTATAATGCAGAAGGATGGGATAGCATCTTCATAAAAAAATTAATGAACATAGAACTTCATAAAAGTATCAATCATGATGAGAAAGAAAGAAAACCATTTCTGCTGATACAGGATCCACGATTTCTTCATCTGCAGGTGCCTGGTTGAAAAGCATATTTCCCCTTGTAGCACGGAACAGCATCCTCTCAAATCTAAGAGCTTTGGATTTGCAAATAATTCCACTAATAAATCTTACTCCTGATTGATCTGAAGGTCCATGCCTCATTTCCTGTAAAGTGGATCATCTATAATAAATGAAATTGTCGTTATGGGTTTTGCACAAGGAAATAACTAATAGTTCACAAAACATGATAAACAATCACCTGATCAAGTAAAGAACCTGTCTCAATATAGTCATTGTTTGAGTACACATTCTCATTTAGTTCTGTCTCTTCTCCAACTGAGCGATTGTCACTTGATAAAAGAAACCCACCAGCCTGAAATTGCCCCCGAAAGTACACATGTAAGAGAAAGCTTAGAAAAATATAGTTGAACTAAATATCAAATCCATGTAGAAAAACTTTGAAATTAAATATCAAATCCATACCATGGAATAGGATTTAGCCATGAAAACGATAATCAGTAAAGGAGAAACAGAGCCTCAAGCATTGTCTTGAGAAACCATTCTAAAAGCTATTCAAGATTAGGAAGAACATCTTGACAATAAATTTTTTGAGGGAAATACAACATACACAGGGATACAACAAGAAAACATGCCAAGTATAAATATATCTTCTTGTATGGCTGGACAATTTGTTATTAACAAGAGAAATATAGAATCAATTGACAGGCTACAACCACAATAGAGAGCATATGCAGTACTAAGGCCTCTCAGTAAAATTGTAAAAGTAAAAAAAAAATTATTTAGAAGAATAGGCTAAGAGTTGATAACATGGAAGTAAATCATAGGGAAAACTCAGTGGTGCATTAATAGAATTCAGAGCAGCCCAACTGAAAGGAAAGGGCACAGAGATTTACCTTTTGCAATACTATCTTGAACTCCAGGAGCTCATTATACGTTTGTCGAAGTTTGTCACTGTTAGAGTTCATTTCAATTAGCTCGTGTTCATGTTCAGCAAGTTGTACCTACAAAAGGAGAAATACACCATATACAGCACATTTATAAGTTTCCAAAATAGAGGGGTTTTTATATCGTCTTTTACACAATGAACAATATATGGACATGTTATTGCAGGCACCATAGAAAGAACAGCATTTATTAAACCGTAGGAAAGCAGACCTCCAATTCCTCCAACTCAATATCTGGTTCCAGAGTAGGATGTGCAAAAGAGAGTAGACCAGCTTTAGCAATTTGCTCTTTGAAAAATTGCATCTTCCTTGACATCTCTCCACATCTTTTTACCTTCAAAACCCCCACAAAACATTTAAACAACCATTGAAAATTTTAATGAAAACTTAATGTAACATCGGTCTTAACCATGACAAAGTAAAAATAGAAATAAAATTTTGAAATTATGTGATCATAACAAAATTAGACTTAAGTCACAAGAAAGACCAATTTGTTATCTGATAACAGCAAGGATAAGCATATACAAGGACCTACCGATGCCATAAAACTAAAATTTATTTCAAAGTTTTAATGTAATATGACTAACTAATAAGGCTGACTTGTTACCTGGTTAGCAAATGTTCGCTGGAAAGGGCTTTTATCAGCATTTAACTGCCAAGAAAGAAAAAGATAACATATATCATCCATAATTTCAGAAATCTTACAACCATTTAATTACAATAGAGTATAATTGCAGAATGAGAAGAGCCAAGGGGGAGGGAAAATCTTTGCCTTTGGTATCAAGACAGTACATCCAAACTTAAAAAAATGAAGGGCAAGAGCTACCAACATGGCTACACACCATGGTGTTACAAAATGTTCAGTTTGCATCATAACTGTCGCTCTTTGAGCAAGCTCATCACTACCACCCAATAAAATGTGAGTAGTCTAATTAATCCTCCAAACAAAACCAATTCTATGTGCTACACATTCTTGATGTAACCAATTCCATACAGAATACAGGAGGCTGCCAATATATATTACTAATGGATCCTAGTAAACAAAAAATTTCCTAATTGAATGCATCCTTGGGAGCGGAGGAGAAGGTTTCCCCACTAGACACTGAGACATGCTTAACGTCTTGTTTATCTCGACGAAATGGGCGGAATATTCACAATGTTCAGTATCTTATCGATGGCTTCCCTTGCATTACCGGACATGAGTGGGTTTGTTGCAGAATTGATAGTCTTTTTTGGAATAATTACCAGTCAGAAATATTTTTTAATGGCACCAACACCCACATGCCAAAATAAGGGAAAATAGAAAAATGAAAAGAGACAGAGGGGCAGGTGACAAAGGTTCTACTTATGTTGCCAACCCATTTTGGAATTAAGGTTGATAGAACGGTTTGTTAGTCACCTTTTCTTGTCAAGCTAAAATTTAGAACAAAACAAAACCTTCTGGCAATATTAGGGAACCATAAGAATAAAAATCTTTCAAGGCTCTGGAGATGATCACAGGCAGAGAATGGTGTCCCTATTCCTTAGCAAATTAGAACATTTTCTTTTCATCCAAAAGAAATCCTCAAAGTTATGGCTAACTTGTTTTCACTAGAAGGACCAGAACACTGGCAGTTGAATGGTAGAGATTCAATAATAGAACTTATAAACTGAATTAATTACAAGGATTAAGAAATCCTTACAACAACTATAATCATCTTTTCTGAGAGAAAAAGAGAACAGAAAATTCAGTAACAGGGCAGCAAGTGACCCTTATAACAAATTACAGGTGGTCCCTAGCCAACATATCTATGCATTTTACAAGATCAGCTTCATGGCCTTCATCAACAATAGGAAACCTCTATGAAAAAGATGTAGGATTCTAAATAAATCATCCCAATACCCAGAAAGGGTTGTAGAGTCTTCTAGAGAATTATGATAATATATGCTATTTTGAGGTACCTTATGACATGAATGACGCAATATATGCAAAGAAAATCATTAAATGTTACTCATAGCGAGCAATTTAAAGGCCCAATAGAACATCAGAATGCAACTATTTAGAAGAAAGGTAACTGCTCATCTGAAACAAACTCACAAACCTTAAACCAAAAATTTCTTGACAGGCCATCAAAGCACATTCTTAGTGACTAAATTATGAATCAATGGCACAATACAGCTACCGGAATTTGTATAAGTAGCCAAATAGGGCAAGGCATAAAGCTGAAGGCCGAAGTTAACTAGTATTTGGTTAACTAATAAGTATGAATCCAACCCAAATTTACTCGACTTAAGTGAAGATGCAATCATAATGATTATGAAAAAGTTGATCTATCCTCAAGAGCGGTTATATGACTAAATCTGTAAAATAAAATCTCCATAACAATCTTCCTCGGGATTCAAATAAATTCTTAATGAAATTGGCACAAAAGTTGGAACCAAATACTCCTTCCTCGTCAGGAATTCCCACCTCTGAGGAACAAAATTGGATCGGGTGTCCAAAATATCTCAAGAAAAAAAGAAACAAAAAAAGTCAGCATCTATGGATGCCAATATAACTCAAGCATAGATTGGAAACTGAGATCCAGAATCCTCCCAAAATTCAAACACCTAAAGTGCACCGAATTGTTTATGAGTTCACTATTCCATCAAGCTACATATAATCTGCTCAACACCCTAAAGTAACTAAATAAATGTACCGAAAACAATTCAAATCCTTTCTCATTTTACTAACCGTTAAACTAAAAGCTTTCCTTCAATCGGAACTAACGCCGCGTGTTATCTTGATCAAACATATAATTGGTATTTGCCTCTCGGTATGTTATCCCATTTTCCTCCATTCCCCGGGAAAAAATAACAAAATCTAAAAATACCACAGCAAAACATAGTCAGATCTAAGTTGACACGAACTTACATCACGAAACTGAAGGAGACCGAGTTCTCCGAGGTAGGAGAGGGCTCGGTGAGCGGATTCGACTGGAATGATGAGCTGAACAAAAGTCATCTTCTCGGACCGCATCAGATCCATTGGCGGCAAGTTATCTATGAACCGCTCCATACTTTCAACTTTCTTCCACCTAAAAACTTACGAGGACCAAACCGAAAACCAACCAGAGCGTCCTCGTCGTCGTTTCTGCTGTTCGTCTTGGATCTGTATGGTTTTCTAGATCTGCCGGTGTCAGTTCCAATCTCTCTCTTCTACGTTGAGTGAGTGAGTGCGTCTGGTCGTGCGTTACTTTTCCAGTTTTCACATCGCAACTGCCATGAATCGAGAATTTCGCATCTTTCTCAATTGTTTTATACCAGCAAAATTGCAAACGTAAACATACTGTTTTTCCATTTTCGTTTTTTTTATATTTTTAATTATAATTTCTCAATTTAATATTTTTATACTGGTAATTTTTTTGTTTATGACTTCAAGCGGGAGCTAACTGTGGTCAAAGTCAACCATAGCGTACAATCCCAGATTCCAAACGCACCCATTACTGAAAATTTGAGTTTTCGCAAATTAAAATGCATACCACGTTTACCCAATATACATTAATGAAATTAGGATAATTACATTAAATTAATTAATTATTTTTTAATAAATAAATAAATTAATTAATTATAATGAATTAAAAAAATAATATATTGATATTTTAAAATAATAAATATATATTAATTAAAAATAAATACATATAATAAATTTCATTCTACATATAGTATATAGTCATAGTCATGTACTTTTAATTTATGAGCTTTAAAAACACTGAACTTATCATATAGTTTTCATATTCTTCATGTCACTTTAAATGAGACATTTATTTATTTATAATATAATAATCAGTATTTTTTAAAATATTTTGTCAAAATTCCTAATGTCTCTTTTAAAAAATATATATATCATTATTTAATTAAATTAAAAATTATTTCGTAGTTCATAAATTTATAAATTTATTTTTAAATACAATTTTTAAATATATTAGCAAAAATAAAAATAAAAATATAATTTTTAATAAATATATCTTAATTTAATGATATAAAAATAACCTAAAAATAATATTTTCATATTATGACTATATATTAAAAAACATTAATAATTATTATATGTTTGTTTTAATCTATATTCTTGTCATATATTTAAAATATATAGTTGTTATTAGTAATTTTATTAAGATTAATATTTGCTTGTTATAATTTTTTGACCATAAGAATAATAAACTAGTTTGATTGTATAATTTTAAATTATAAATTTATTTAATTATAACGTAATAAATAATTTGTAAATTAAAAAAAATGTCTTTAATTATTAATAAATTGAATATATTAATGTTATGGGATTATCTTGGCGCATTAAGGAGATAATGACATTTACCTGATTTTTCTTTTAAAATAAAACTACAAGGGAAAAGGTAATGTATTATTTATAATGTAATACATATAAAAAGTCATGTATGATTTATAATACATATAAATAACAATATATATAGGTACATCATATAAAATTATATATTTAATTTATTTGTATATATCATAGTTCATTAAATGAATTATAATTTAATGGTAACAATATGATTTAATATATTAATAAATTAAATAATTAATATGTTGAAGTAAATATTATAAATCGTTAATTTATAATATATTTATAAAAAGATAAATTTTATAATTTATTTATGATTATTAAATAAAATATAATAATCATTTTATTATATTAATTTTATAACTAATTTTATTAGATTTTCTTAGTTATAATTTTATTATTTTATTATTTTTTATTTTACTCAGGCATTCTATTTATTTAAAATTTTAATTAAATTAATTTTTAATATAATTCAAAATTATGAAACACAAATAGTTAAAAACCTGACACCGTGAGGGCCCAATAAGAGTTAATGGGCATTGTTCGGTTTAGCATAAAGAATCCATTCTTGTCGGCCGCGAATCTTCTTTTTCATTTATCAAATCCTCCATGGGACAACTTGCGGAGGTCGCTGGTTAATCAGTTTTCATCGGTAAGTTCAATTTTCTTTTAATTTTACTCATATTTTCTCAAATATTCACCTCTGTTATTCTCTGCTTTTAAGATCTCTCAGTACTCCGAAGACTCTGTAAGGAATCCTCAAATGAATAAATATTTATTGTCATGTGTGGTGTAACAAAACTTGGCTAACTTTGCTTCTTGCAAATAATGGTTTACTTCTGAATATATATGGTTCACCGTATGGATTTTGATGTTAATTTGAAAAAATGACTGTTTTTGCTAACCAAGGCAGAATTTGACGAAGAGACTTTCTACTCAGAACGAGTTCTATGTATTCAGGCATTAATCTAGGGTTTTTTGGTTTGAGATAGATTCATCAGCTTCCAGAATCGGTATTTTTTTTTTTTTGAGTATTTTTTGTAGTTTTTCATGAATTTTAGATGGACCAGTAGACCCGAAAATACAACATCTTTTAGATTCTTTTTAACTGTAGCATGTACTAATATATGTTTCTTTTTCTCTTCGGAACTGCTAAGTGCTATTTTTATGTACTCAAATTAGGGTTGAAATGTGAGAAAGACACACTGAATTTTCTACTATTTTCATAGTAAATTCGGATTCTATTTCCAGAGTTGGCCACACATATCAAACTAGTTAAATAGAGCTAGAGTTCAGATACGAGAGAAACATATTGAATTTTCTACTATTTTTGTTGTGAAGTTGGATTCTATTTGTAGAGTGGTGACGAACTCGGTAAATGTATTGTGTTGTCTGTTTTTCTGTGTGGCTTTCAAATGGACTTTGTTTCTAATATTATTTCTCTAAGGAGTTTATGGTGATATGGTATTGGGATGGAAAAGCTCTGATGGCAATTTACCGGGTCAATTGGATCATTGGTTTATGTGGAAGGCAAGAATCTGAATGTATATTCTAATCTCAATAGAACTGGGTTTGTTTCGTGAGCGAATTGTTCCAAAATATTTTTTGGATTAAAACATTTAGCATCTAGCTGCCTAGATTATAGCTTCTAGTCTAATTTTGTGCACCAAATCTGGTCCTTACTATGGTAAACGAACATAATGCTCCTGAAGCATT